CCCCCCCCCCCCTCCAACATTTAGTTTGTTACATTTTTTGGTGTAAAATAAGTAATGGAAAATTATTGAAAGCAGGCTTGACATGTTTTTCCATTCATCGCAAAGAATTGATCACATATTGTTCTAGTTGCCGAAAATATTGTTTTGACGTTCTGACTCATTAATAATTCATGAGGAAAACACAGAGAAAAATCATAAGCGTGTCGTATCTTTATATGTGATAGAGATTTCCCTTGATTTACATAAACTTTAATTAACTTTGATTTTCTCAACTTACACAACGTATTTTTCAGTGAAAATTACTTTGCCAATGAACTTACTAGATCGATCGTTTTTGAAGCAATTTAAAACATTCGCAGTGCGTGTTTTATCAGACCTAAAGATACTCTGCTTCGCCTCGTATCTTTATATCTGATAAAACACTCCTACTCGTTTATTAAACAGTACTTAAAATAGGATTTCCTTATTGATGTATATATTCTCGTGATTTTAACAATGTTAAGTATTTTACTCTCGGCACACGACGATTTGACCCTCGAGGTTTACCCTACACAAAACACATGCTGTATTTCAAGCTATTTTTGCGTACTGATGATGAGACACGTCCTCGCTAATAGCCCAACACCGTGTGCTCAATATTTTTACGACATACTCGTTTCCCATTACGCGCGCAAAAATTCCAAAGGCAAACTCGCTAATTATGCAAATTAGATTATAGAGGCTTACACATCGATAATACGCTAGAAACGTGTGACAGAATATTTTCAGCACATCAAGGACATTAAACCTCAAGTTGTTTTTAAACATTTCAAATTGAAGTTTTTCGCAATGGCCTTGATCTGAGAGTATTTGTTTCGAACAACGAACCCTTTCAACGCCCATTGTGAATTATTCGTAAACATTAAATTTTGTACAAAATTTATTAATTTAAATGTGGAGGAAAACTGGATTAATACTTAGCAAAGAATTTGAATTGGAAATAACATACATAAACAAGTTACGATTATTAAAAGAACGAAACGAATAATTTATTTGGTTAAACGGCTTACTACTGATAAAATCTGCTATGAGATTTAATAAATCTTGTCCTATTGCACCGCATTGAATATATAGTGCTGTCCGTTTGACCTCGTTTAAATAGCATTGTTGATAAACTCGTTTATCGCATGAAACATTGCTATATCGACCAGTTTCAACAGGGAATTTATGAGCTGAAATTCTGAGCTTTGTAAAAGCTTGGCGATGTTTAAACTAATTTCAGAAATATGTTCGTAACTTGCCTTGATTTCCGCGTTGTTGAATCTGATCTTTCCAGTCATTAATATATAGTACTCTTTTTAAATTATCTTTTAAATAATGGCAACATTTTCCCAATTTGAAATGCAGTAAAAATGCGAAGTTATAAACTAGTAAAATGAGTATTTTACAAAATGAGTATTTTACAAAATACAAAACAACTCCAAAAGGAACATTTTTAATATAGTTGTGGCTTTTGAGTATGTTTTAGTCATCATCGGGAATTATGCTGGGTTACATTAATACAATGATATTTATAGGTGAGGGTTAAAGTAATTTGATACATACAAACATGTAGAAGAGATTATATTAACAAAACAAGATTAGTTAAATATGATGGGGTCTTTTGACGCCTTTATAGTTCCGTGATTTATGTTCAGTGTTTAAAACGTCGAGTGGCAAATGATTCTTTGAAAAGTAATATAAGAACCAATGATCAGATCTGGCTATAATTTTGGTCTTAGAGTTATTAAATAGAAATTCTGCTCGCATACAAGTTTTATCGTCAGGATATATATATAGTTCTATAAAAATAGTTTTGAATGATGTATTGAAAATGTTCGCATGATGTGATTAAATATTTCGGATTTATTATTCATTGAGACTCTATTTATTATTTCAACCAGCTTCAACTGCTAAACCTGTGCGCTGAAGTTCTTAACTTTGTGCGCGTCTCAGTTTGTCGATGTTTAAATGCATCATTGATCAGCGAAATACTTTGAAATATAAAAAATATTTTTATATCGATCAGTTTCAATGTGTTGAAATTCTCAACTTCCAACAGCTTGCGGATTTCCAAAAGGTGTATTTTTCTGGTAAAATGAACCAGCGTTTAAAAACTGATAATATAGCGCGAAATTTGAGTCAATTTATGAACGTCTATATTACCGTCTTATCATCTCGCATCGACGCGCGGTGTTGATTCGAAGCGATTCTGTTTTTTATCACGTTTTGCAATTTTTTGGCATGCTTGCGCTTATATATACGTGCGTTTATGAAGTCAACATTATAATTAAAATTGACGTGTAAATTCTAGCACATTATTAGCCCTCCAGACGAGTTGCTATATCCAAAACAAACTCGACAATACTCGAACAAGTCGACTTAAGTTAATGGACGTAATGTCGTTTATAAAACGAAGCGAAAATTAGATTAATTCGCATGTGAAAATTAAGTTAGTTTAACATTGGTCAAATAAGGCTTGTCCTGCTCAGAAATTAGGGAAGTTTATTAATTAAAGACGAAGCTGAGTTCCCGTTCTGTCAACATGCTCATTAGAGTGTTTAGGCGCATCCAAGGGTAGGGCCTGAGATTAATTTCAAACAAGGGCTTATGAAGAAGGCTTTATGGTTTTAAAATAAACATTTATTTTTTTTAATGTTTATGCCACTACGAGAAAAGTACTTTCCAGTACAAAAAACCCCCAAATACTAAATGATTTATAAGGCTTGTTGACACAATCAAAGTTTCTGTGATTTAACACTGGGTCACAATTCCATCAAGCATTTCTTACAAATCCTTCAAAATCTCCCATTGTGATCACAGAAATATTGAGGTGTTCAGTGCATGTATATAGAATTTGATTTTGCGATTTACAGCTTCGCGTAATATAACTTGCTGTTTACTGCAGAAGCCATATTTCAACGGTTTATTCATCGATGATATGCAAATTATAATGAGGAAATAAAATAAATAATGTCCATAATTTCTGGCCATGCTATCTGATAGCGCAGGACGAAATTAAAAAGGATTGTTTTAAAGAACGAGCCGGTCCTATACTCTAATATAGCCATACAGCGCTATCATATTGATATATATTCCAGTCAAATCTAAAAGAACATGCAAGTACCTGGGGATTCTTCGTATTCGCCAATAAATCTGTTCGTGAGAAATCGCACTGTCAAAGCTGTGAAAGAAAAATAGATATATTTCTCAAATGACAGTCGAGGGTCGAGGGTATAGAATGTCGAGATTTGAATCGGATATTATAATGTGTTAGTATAGAGGTGTTAGTCTCCATAAAATATTGAGCTGGCCCAGGTTTCAGTGTCTGCACGCTCGTTCCAGAAAATGGCTAAAGAAACTTGAGTGTTTCAAGTAAAAGTCCTTCTATTAAACTACTGAGAAAGCTGTTATGTGTTTTTATATCTTTTTCGGATAGTTTAAACCCTACACTGGACAACCACGTCTGAGATATTTTTTTCAGGTGGTTCAGACACAAACCACGACAGCTTATTGTAGAATACTACCTACACTGGACGCGCCCACGTCTGAGATACATTTTCAGAGAGTTCAGCCGACACAAACCATGACAGTTTATTGTAGAATACTACCTACACTTGGACGCCCACGTTTGAGATATCTTTTTCAGGTAGTTCAGACACAAACCAGACAGCTTATTGTAGATTATTAACTTCACTAGACCACCACGTTTGAGATATCGTGGTTTCATAGGGGCTATAAGAACGGTCACGTTTCCCCGCAATTCTTGCATAAAATGCGCGCAATATGAAAGTGATTAAATTGCACGTTTCATAATATAAACATCTGCGTAGACGCACGACTTGAGGAATATTCCTTTCGCGATAACGATATTAAAGTCAAATTTGCGCACGCTTCAATGTTTAATAAAGCCGCGCGATAAATTGTCGCGTCTGGTTTCAATATTAATGTATTTTCAGTACGATTTTACGTGTAGATATGGCTTACGAATTGCGCTTTTCTTGCGCAAACGTTCTGCGTGTATTCTCTACCCGCAAATAAAATACTTATGCTATTCGGTGCGGTACGTGCAGTCTATGCTAATCCTGCGCGAAATCTATGTAAACTTTGCACGCAAGATTAAAAATAATCCACGCTTTGCGGTTTTGTTGCGCAAATATTCCGCATGTATCCTACCCGCAAATTATGCAATTTGATGATGTACGTGCAGTTTATGCTAAGCATGCGCGCAATTTACACAAAAAATACACGCGACGTTGAAATCAATCTACGCATTGCGCTGTCCTTGCGCAAACGTTACGCACAAATCCTACCCGCAAATAATGCTAATGTGGTGATGTACGCGCGCAATATAGTCAGGAAAGTGCCATTAACGTAAAGGCGTTTACTATACACTTGATATACATTTCCGGATGATTGAAAGATAAAGTTTTTAAGTGAAATTAATTACGCCATTGAGTACAATTGCTCAAGTTCTGTACAAATATTTAACATGCAATTGAAGGAGACGTATGGTGTTCTTTTCCGGCACGATAAAGTGTAACTTTTGTGATTTTTGTTTGGGATTTGTGCGTGAGAGTTTAGAATGCACGTACAGATATGTTGTGCGCCAGGCACGGTTTACCTTACCACATATTATGTCTAGATCTTCGGTATGGTGCGCTTTTTCATAAGTATGTTGCAAATGTTATGTCTAGATCTTAATAAATATGGTGCATGTTTTCATCAATACGGACGCAAAATCGACACATTTTAATATTAACACCCATGGAACAACTCTGTCAGTATGCTTAGGAATTTGTCTAAGGTAGATGTTCATTGTGGTAATATTAGACCTGCAAAATAGGCTTTAAACCAACCATGCGCGATAATTGTATACGCAAGATTAATCTAAATTCCTACACGTAGTAATACCAATATATATCTTACGATGATTTAAAATAGACTGACACGTACAATTCTGCATAATGCACATAATTTTAGCTTGCAATCAATTATACGTGAATTAAAAATGCTAGCTATGTAAGTTCTCAAACAAGAGAATATAAATTGCTCGTGTGTACAGCATCTTGTTTATCAAGCTGAAATTGGTCTCCTAGCATTTAAATGTTGTTCAGGTCTTAGGTTCTTGGCAATATTTAGATGGAAAATGCTTCAAATATTTCAAAGCAAAAAGAGAGAGATGTTGGTCTGCTGTACTGCATGCGAGGACAGTGCAGCAAGAATCATCTCTTCTTCAAAACATTACGAAACATGTTGTCTATATTTTATTCTGAACAAACACGGCATTATTCAACACCACTTCCTCACTCAAATAAATGCAGGTTCAGCACCATCTGTTGTTAGCATGAAACACTTCAAATATACGTACAAATATGCATAACGCGGTCTACTATAATGTATCATTTGCATCTTACCAGTTTTCCCGACTTTCCGATGGCCCAAAACAACCAATTTTACGTCGGGCGGATCCAAGCTAATCGATAAACTCCCCGAACCGGACATGGTTCTGTTGTCTCCGCTTTCCTTCGCTCGGCCACTGGCTTTATATGCCCGCGTCTTGAAAGTACACCACGTAAATAGACAATGCGAACGCAATGAGCGATGTAAACGCTTGAAACCGGTATACTGGAGTGACGTCACACGACCGCACTTGACCTCAGGAGTGGTGATAGACCGATTCAAGTAGAATGACCCAAGAATAGCTAGTGTAACAGAGGGTGCATGTTAGTCCTTCCGCTCCGCGGTTCTTGCAGGTTGAGGGGGCACTACCTCCTCCCCCCACCACCCACCTCCCCCCACCACACACGCACTTTTCGCTACATAAAGAAACTCCTTGCAATTGAAATTGAAACACGCAATGTTTATCGCATGTTTATCGCATCTACATTGGGGGTACAAGGGGGTGCGCACCCCGCCTAGTGGTGTCTAGCATCCCCCTAGAGAGGTCCAGCACCACACTAAAAAAATCTGCTTGATCTGCTTTTCGAATAGCGATTAGCGGAACTTCTACTATTAGCGCGTTTCGATTTCATGAAACGATTTAATTGATTTGCAAGCCAGTTCACGAGGAAATACTCAGAATGCTTTAGTTAAATATCATCGTTAAATATGTAAACATGTCGAGGTTGTTATACAGCCATGTTTTCAAATATATTGTACTTTAACAAACAAATTTACTGTACTGTGCTACAGCAACTGTCCGGTCACGCATACGTGATAAAAAGCCGATATAAACTTTCAGATAAACAGAAGATAATGTAAAACGTAATAGAACGGCGAACATGCAGATTCAGTCATCTCAAATAATGGTAATGTTGGGATAGTAGCGTTGCAGACTGCAGAGGAGAGTGGGCAGTAAGGCTCCCTCATGCACCACCCCATGGAAAACCTGCACCCCTCCTTGCAGATGAGGCTAGATCCACCCCTACCCCTGGTTTATCGATAAAAAGTCTCTTGCACAGTCAATCTGTTTGAAGTCGTTTCGTACATTTGTTTGATCCATGCATTGTAACTCCTTGCTGTGCAATTTCGATTGTAAAATTGCTGCTGCTACACTTCACTAATTGTTTCTGTTTACCGTAATCTAGACAGTTGAATCGAGACACCTTGTACGCTACAGACTGTACTCGATACAGTCAACAAACAGACGGTTTAAATTTGCTTTACTGAACGTCACAAAAATGATCTTCTGATACAAGAAATCAATACCATTCACCCCTACCCGGATTCCATTTCAAAAATAGCTTCGTCTTAATCTCTTCATTAAAGCAGTGGTTTCTATATATGGTCGTAAAAATAGGGTCACGATCTTTCTCAACGGCCAGTTTATAATAGTTTATACCTGTAAACCACATATGAATCATAAGTATTCTCTAGTTATAATCACTCCGCGTATTTTCAGTTCTAAAATGTTGTATTTCGGCTGATGAGAAAGATCGTGACTCAATCTTTACGACCGTTAATACGACCGGCATATGGAACCTGCCTTTAATCTCTTCATTAAAAGTGTTCAAAACCTAAAATCTTTTTGGCATTCCTCCAATTAGAATTACTTTTTTTAAGCTTTATTTTGTAGTTTATACAGTTAGCAACCTTTAGTTTTTAAATGTATCTGGTGGTTGAGAAACACAAAATAATAGTTAAGTATTCTCAATTTAAATACAATTATCATTGATGCTGTAAAATTGACGCCATATTTATACAGCAATTCAGATTCATTCTGAACTTCAGACATCATTTTCTCTTTGGCGTACCATCTAAAATCTCTTCATTTTAGCACAATTTTACAGATAAAGCACTAAACATACTTTTTAAGTTTGTTTGCCGCTTGAGAAACGCATCAAAAATTTAAAAAATTGAATTTAGTCATAACATGCAAGTGGAAAAGTATATTCATTAGTTAGTTTGAGCGCGTGTTACGTAACATACAAAAGATTCAGACTTCAGTCTCTCTTCTTTAATGCTTCTATTAGTTTCTATTGCAGATTATATGAGATTTCTATCAAGTAACCTTATACTTTATAACTACTAGAAATTTTGTGGGAAAACAGAGGCACTTTGGTACGCTACAAAGCAAGGACTGGATTTAAATCAATCTAAATCCGCGGACTTTGAGGATTGGACTAGATTTCAAGGCCTAGATTTCGAGATTCCGAGGGATCAAAATGCGATCGCTTGAAATCTAGTCCAATCCGAATGGATAATTTCACTATCGACTATTTTTTTATCTAGACAAGGAAGACGAAATCTATCATTATACAGGCTTAAGAGAGCATCCTAAAATTAGTAAAATTGCAAAGTTTGGTTGCGAAATGTTGTAATGTACGGAAAATATAGCCCTGTGAAATTAGCAAATTTTGAGTATTTTAGTAGCGGAAAAAATACAGTATTTTGCAACCAAATTTGGCAATTTTACTAATTTAATTTCAGGATGTTCTTTTAAGCTATAATGATAGATTTCATCCTTTTCTTGTCTGGATCAAAATTTAGCCTATAGCTGGAGTCACCAATTCATTTAGTTGATCGAGTCCAAGGATTGACTTAATTTTAATCCAGTTCTAGGACTGGATCAATATACTTCACCACGTATTCAGTATTATCATGTGAGCAATATAAAGCAATATGGTTGGCTAATTTACTCGTGAATTATCAATGAGTTCATTTCGGAGTTCAGTTCTATTCGCGGCAGTCCTTATTTCGTACCATCATGTAGCATACCTTGTGATTGTACTTAGTTTATTTTGATAACCTCTAGGAGTCAAGAGGAGAGAACAAATATGAGCTCATATAAAAAGATCGAATCTTCTCTGAGTTATAGCGCGGTGTATAGCAGATTGATGGCAAAATTTTACATTTCATGATAAATGATATTAATGATATTAATGATCTTTAAACACGAGTAACATTTGACATACACATGGTGATTTTCAAAGGGCCGTGCGGAAAATACATACATTATAAAAGAAGGAACTAATAAACTAAGTTAATACTTATTTACAAAATATACTTATTTACTTATTTACAAGATGTGATTATTTAATAGATGATGGACAGATTTTAAACTTGTTGACTCTCTTAGGGTTTTCAACAAGTTTATTGAGATGTTGTTCCAATACGCTGCTCCTCTGTACGAAAAGCTATTTTTCAAGAAATTCGTTTTTGGTTTAGGTTGAGACGGTTTTAAATTACTACTGCGCAGTACGCAACCACTGTTGGCATAATATAAAAGACACGATATAAAAGACACAATAAGTTGGCCGATAATATAAAAGACACAATTGTTCAATCTGCGCCACTATTATAGGAATTAAAAATTGTAAAGTTCGAGAACATATAAGCTTGCATTTGTCTCTCTGTTAAAAACATGTGTTGTACTTTTTACTTCGCGTAATCTATTGAATTTCCCCGGCCTAAATGCGCTATTTTTGCGCATTTGTAATTACGTCGTCTCCCACTCGTGGGAACCCATGGCTAGGAAACATTGGCATGTTTTCAATTAGAATTTGTTCAAAATTAGTTCGACATCGGGCTGAGCTTAAAACAGTCCTAAATTAATTTTATAGAATATATAACTAGTATAAACATTTTTAGCAACATTGATGTAAATAATAGTAAAATTTCTTCTTATCAATTTTAACCTTAGCACTTCTTGTAAATCCATTGTACTTTTTTAACCTGAAAGATGGATATTAAATGTTATTATTATATGTTATTATTATTACCGCTATCGTGCCTATGCCTTTATCAGCGATACAGCTCAGCTGGAATATTCGTTGCGTATATTTTCGTTTCAAAACATGTATGCGTGAATGATTCATTGCAGTCGGGGGTAGCCATTCACCGCGCTAATCCAGGATTTCCTATAGGAAAATATTTTAACTGCGGGATAGAGTATTAGACTATTTCCAGGTCTATTCGATCGCCTATTCACAATTTATTTCCTAGCCTTTTTTTCATTTAATTAAAGCCTTATTCTGGCTGTGAATAAAGCAAACGATGACGTAAGCTCCTTTGCTAGCTCTTCAAAATATTAATATATTGATGTGTTTACGCAAAGCTTGCATGGTTTAAAACTTTTCAATTGTAGATAAATTAAGAGAAGAATCTTTTGTATGTTACGTAACACGCGTTCAAAGCTAATGAATATATTTTCCCACTCAGTTATGACTATATTCAATTTAATTTTGGATGCGTTTCTCAACTGGCGGCAAACAAACTTAAAAAGTATGTTTAGTGCTTTATCTGTAAAATTATGCTAAAATGAAGAGATTAGTTAGATGGCATACGCCAAAGAGAAAACGATGTTTGAAATTCAGTAGTTTAGGACCTGTATAGGAGTTTATATGCGTTTCATTTAGCACAGGTAATCTCAGCTGTTTTAGGGTAAAATGACCATGGCGGTCAACATGGCATATGTGCCAAAACGGCTGAATCGTAGACGAAAGTCCTGAAAATGACCACGCCCTAAATCGGCAGTTCCAACATGCCTTTTTGAAGCGATAGCCTTTCTGAAGCACTTATAGTGTTTAGAAAAGCCGCTTTTAGGAGTGGCTATTGGAAGGAAGAATTTGTCTAAGAAGTAATATTTTACAAGAAAATGACCATGCACCACCCCAGGTCAACCACTAATTATGCATAAAATAACTAATATACCTGGCAGAAATTAAATTTCCTGATCGAAAAAATGAAAATATTAGTTGCAGTTGAAAGGGAAAAACCTCCCACAACACTTGTTGTATCAGAATCCCCCAAAAAAGTAATTTAAAAGTCACGCGCAAATTCGCGAAAACGCCTCGTGGGCCACATGACAGGGAAGGGGTAAATATTAACAACTTGTCAACAAGACGTGTTCGCATTGCTTGTTTCCAGCTTGTTGACAACTTGCTGCAAGGTCGTCGAGCTCCACGGACTTGTTGCAAGTTGTTCCAACAACTTGTTATCGATCGTCCTGAAATTCAACAATTTGTCAACAAGTTGTGAGTGACAACCTTGTAGCAACTGAGCTACGCGGTCAGGTCGGTTCGAGTATGTGATATTTCGGAACAGAATCTAGTTCCTTCGATATCAATTGGCAGAGCATTGGGCTAGTATTCCAAAGGTCGTAGGTTCGATTCCCACCGTGGTCAGGCATATTTTTCAAGCTTGCCCGGTGTGGATATACACTCAGAGTAACATCACAAGCATCATATTCACCTGAGTACATTACACCAACACAGAAAAAAACTTGTAGCAACTTGATAAAATAACAGCTAGCGTAGTTGACAAACTTGCTACAAGCAATAACACGCCCTTTTGCGAACACCTCTTGGTGATTGATTTATCCCTTTTTTCACGTTCTATCCCCTATTTCGCGTTTTATCTTATTTTCCGTTTCCGCAATTTCGCGCGTTTTATCCCCTATTCCGTTCCGGAATGCCGGAATTCCGTTTCCGTGTTTATCCTTACCCTTATTCCTTTGTGGGCCTCGGGATCTGTCGACTTGCATCGTACTGATTCGGGTTTCCGACGAACTTGCGGAATGTTCCGAATTTCGTGTTTCTTCTCCACGTGGTAAAAAATGGCGTAAAAATCGAGGTTTATATTGATCAATCATACCTTTATTTGAAGGTAATATGCTTTATTTAATATCTGTATTTGTAGTAGAATACTTAGATTGCTAATGTAGATGGCATTTTTAGGTATCGGGATCGAATTTAGTGCGAAATGTCGGCATAAAATTTGTAGTTAATTGCACGTGGTGCTTTGGTCGATGTCGAAATAAAAACCCGCGATCTGTTGTTATTAATAGCACTGACCAATTCAATAAAAAGACTAAGTAAGGTATAAAATTGTTGAAATCATCGAAAAAAGTCCGTTGTTTTTGAGTTCTTGCCAGGATCTATATATTTTACATCATAAATTGTCATCAATTGTCAGAGCACTCTTTTCTTGACAAGTAAAATCGTCTGGCGTTAGACTAAAATAATAAAATAGGGTGCATCTTGATAATAGTGTTAATTTTCGGTTACTTGATTAATCCAGCCTCTTCCTGTTGGGGAAATTCTGCTGTCCAGAATCAGTCCGAGCAGAATTCTATATGTAAATTATCAAAGGCAAATTAAAGCTCATTACTGTATGTCACAGAAATACAGTTATTGTAACTAAAGTGCCTTGTCTTAAAGGACGTTATGAAGCAATGTATTTCATTAAAAACCATTTCAGACCCCCGGACGTTTACAAAGGTGTCATCCACATCCCCAATCTCACTCTTAACTTTTCTGTAAAGTTGAGAGGTCTGTGTACCTCAGTTATTAGTTGGTCATTCGCATCTGTAAAATTATCTTAAAATTTTGTAGATATTCATTGCAAGTTGAATCCACATTGTCCCAAGTTCCTGCCTGACAATATGTTGAGTATTATGAAAAATGAACCCTTTCGAAAGACATAAATAAACGGTATGTGCTTTTCCTGTTTACATGTATTTTGTATATCTTAACATCTTTTCCATTTAACCCAATTGAGTGCCCGCACTCTCCCCTTGACAAGTAAAATTGTCTGGCATTATAGACAGAGTAAAAATAATAAAGTACTGGGTGCATTAGGGTGGAATGCATCTTACAATCAAACCGGATGTTCTCTTGCAAGCAACATTGCAATATTGTCCCACAATATTGCAATTTTCATAGGCAGATTGCTCTGAGCAATTTGCAACCGACGCGAACAAATTGCAAGTTGAAATTCACAAAAGATTTGTAAACAAAGCCTCTGATTGGACTATAAGAAAGGGGGAAGCACCAATCCAGTTGCTCAGACTATTTGCATGGCTTCCCTTTTCTTATAATCCAATCAGAGGCTTTGTTTACAAATCTTTTGTGAATTTCCATTTTGCAATTTGTTCGTGTCTGTTGCAATTTGCTCAGAGCAATCTGCCTATCAAAATTGCAATATTGTGGGACAATATTGCAATGTTGCTTGCAAGAGAACATCCGATTTGACTGTAATAGGATGCATGGGCAGTTTGTTTGGTTAATCCATTGAGTGACAGCACTCTCCATGTGACAAGTAAAACCTTGACATGTAAAATCGTCTGGCGTTAGACAGAGTAAAATACTAAAGTAGGGTGCATCAGGGCGCATTGCCACTTATTAAAGGGTTAATTACGTTATATATTATACCATACATCTTTCATAATTATTATATCACTCTCTTGAATGCCATCAAGGGGAGGATTTTAAATTATTTCACATCCTCGATAATCAATTTTGGAATTTTTAGATATTATGTTGCAAGTTCCAAGAATGGTTGAAGTTGTTGGCTGAAGTTTGTAAACCACAAAAAGAACACTGTCATTGGAAAGTAAATTAACAGGTCTTGATATTTTTATGTCTTATTTTATGTATCTCGTGCTTTGAAAACTACACATATAATTGCTGTGATCAGTGGCTGAGTTTACTACCGAGTTTTTTAAAAAAGCTAGCAAAAATATCATTGCCATTTTATTCAAGACACAAACGAAAATGGAAAATTAACAAAAAGTTAAAGCAAAAATAATAATTGATTGTGAATCCACAATATTTTTTTATGAATGCACAAGCCTTTCACTTGGCAGGTGTAGATTTGGAAATTGCAGTTTTACGCTCTGCTTTGTTGAAGCTACCAATCACAGCCAGTTACTAGTTTTCAAAGCATTATAATTTCAGATCAAGCCAAGGAATGATAAACTGTGTGTTTTGAAAAGTGTACATATATGCTTTCAGTTTGGATATACATTTTTCATGTTTGGCATAATAGCTAGTTGTTGAAAATGCATGCTTATTTGGGTTTTCAAGTTTCAAAAGATTTTCCATGTTAAGATATCATAATTTGTGGCAAAAAATAAAACAATTCAGTTTGTCATTATTTGGCTTTGTAACATCAATTGAACAATGAGAAGATTGAGATGGTTCTATAAGAAACATTCCCTTACAGATAAAACATGTCAGTTCAAATCGCCTATTTGACCATGAATTCTGTATTCTGTGTTTTCTTTTATTCATTTGAAGCATGTTCCCATTCAAACATGAAAATGAACAGTGAACTTGAACTTGTTTATCAAAATGCATTGTGAATAAAAAATAATTTTGGTTTCTGAATTACCATCTTAATCCTCTTTTGTTTAAGCAGACATCAAGTGTTTGTTTGACAGTTAGGGAAGTTTGTTTGAAATCACAATATTTGTATCAAAATTTAGGTTCTAGATGTTATTAGAGCCTTGGAATATTAAATCTTGGAACAAGCAATTTGGATCAATTGCAGTATACAACACCTTTTAAATTAGCACTGTTAGAACTGCCTTGTTGTTTAATAGTCTTGTCTTATTTATCCCAGCACACTCTTAATACATGAGTTTGATTATTCCTGGACACAAATAAAATGGATTTGTTGAGGAACAAGGCAGTTCTATACAGTGTTGACTTATAGGGGGGTTGTAAACTTCAGTTGTTATTTGATTCTTGTGGCAAACACATTCAGCATTGTTGTTTTTAACGACACATTTGAACTTCGGAACAAATATTGTGATTTTAAATAAATTAAATTATAATTTTCACAACTTTAAAACAAACAATTGAGGTCTAAATAAGCTAGCATATTGTCTTTACATTATTACAAAGTGGACTTGTTTGAATACGGATGAACTGAAGCAACAAGACTACATATACTGTATACTCAAATTTGGGCTAATGCAAGGTTGTATAACTAAAAGAAAATTGATGTTACGCACAGCAAAGAAAACCACAACCAGACGAAGTTGATGTTTTTCGGAATATGTTTTGATTTGTGGCAAAGAAAAAAAAAACAATGAAAAGTATTCAAAAGTGTATAATTGTTTGGTAAAATTTCGTTACAATTTCATAAATAAATATTTTCCGCTATTAGAGTTTCAAGATCGACTTCTTCAACAAAGTAAGTTAACACTACTGCAAGGAAAGCTAATATAAATGTTTGATGTTTACCAATTTGTTGTCAATGATATTAGGATTGCAGATATTTGCCTATCAGACCTAATGGCAATACAATCTCAAATGGTTGGTGCCAGTGTGTAGGCAGCAATGATTAGAAACATTGGCGATATGTGGGAATTAGAACCACATGAAAAATATAAGCAGATAAATAATTGTGCAAAGCTGACACATACACAATCTAAGCAAATTTGAATCAAGATTTGTTACTCTTTATGACAAACTATTATACAGTATTCAGTAATTTCACTGAGGTCAAATGCCTGACAGACTTTTCATATTTGATTCAAAGAATTTTCAAATAATTTCAGGACTTCATTGAATACACCCTTGTGGTAATTGCTTAGTTTGCTAATATTTTGCCTTTGATCTTCATGAGAGGCAGAGAGCATCATGCTCTCATGCTTGTATACCAAACTGTCTTTTGAATTAAAAGAAATCTTTTTAGTCTGGTTTAAGACAAAACGTAATCCAGAGACTAACATGTTGTAAAATAAAAATACAAGTCAAAACAAGTAAATTATTTTGATTTTGATTTTTGAGCTTATGAGATCTACTTTGAAATATTTTTTGTTTAACTTTTTATTGTCTGATTGTGGTTAATTCATGTTTGGCAGTTAATTTCTTAATTTTATATTTACATTTCCTTGGCTTCAGTTCAACTTTCAAATAGTTCCACTTTGTAACAGTGTGCTATAAGAGTCATAATAATAATATAGGAAAACAGGTTTAATGGCATTTGAACATGGTCTTTTCAACCAGTAAGTAAAGGTAAGTTTATACTTCAAAGAGATGTGTGTTTTTTTTAACCTGACAAGATTACTATCAAAACTTGACTAAAATTCCATCTTTATTTTGGTCTAATGACAAAATTTCTGCTCTACAAATATATTTCATCTGTTCAACAGTATTTTTGTTTGGTTTGTTTTACTGTTCATGCAACAAATTGATGAAAGTGCAATATGATATTTTGTTTGTTGGAAGAGAAATTTGGGATTGTATGGAAATTGGGGTTTTTTGGACCAAAAGCACTATATTATATTTGGTGCTCAAAGATGTCCTCATAGGGTTTCCAACTTTATTGGTCAAATTTGTCTAGTTTTAGTTCTCAGTATCATCATCAATATTTCTACCTTAAACTTTAAACTCCTGTTTTGAATTATGTAAATTAATAAGCTTTTTATTCCAAGTGAAGAGTTTGCCCTTTCAACAATACAAAATTTTTTTGAAGATTTTAAATCTGTGTACACATTATGATCAGTACATGTTTTCATCAAAATTAATTCCTGAAGCTTAAATTTTTTTCTTGTAAAATAAACTAGCGTTTTGTATCTAAAGACAATAAGTCTGACGTATTTTTCATTGCATTTACCAACATCCCAAGGGACAAGCAATGTTATACCAATGTTTGGTTTTCATGAATGGGGATGTTTTTAAAAAAAATCAATACATGATGTTTATTGATAATCAATCGAATTAAAAATTTTAGAAATTTTTTTTAAAGCATTTTCATCATTTGAAATAGTATTAACATGTCTAATCTATTCAAACTTGTCAGGTTAAAAAAACACAGTTAAAAATTAAATATATGGCTCCAAAAGAATTTGTTGTAGACGTTTTTTATTTCGCATTTAAAAATGATTTGATTTTTATCGATAGAAAAGATATTTTCCTATTTTTTATATACCAGAAGTTGTGTATTCAATTGAGTATGGAACTAATAATTAGTAACGTTTTGACATTATGAAAAATTTCATTTTTGAGTTTAATTAAATATGTTGCTATATAAGGCATTTCATAATGTAGCATTTGTAAATTCTGAACGCTGATTGGCTAAGAGCCGTGTTGATATAACTCAATGTCAACACGGAAAATGTCTTTCTTTATATTTCTTTGTGCTATATTATAAAAAAATATAAAACATTTTTCCGTATTGATATACAGTTTATCAACACTCGTGGAAATTGGGAAAACTCGAATATCAACACGGAAAATTTTTTATATTTGTTAAGTCAAAAATGTTAGGGTACTTTGAATGTATAAATATGCTTGATATTCTCATCGCCAATGTCGTGCCAACGACTTGATAACTGACCTCAATTACAACTCTAAAGTCTATTGTTTGAACATCAAAACAGTACAGTAAAATCATTACTTTCCATACTCAAGTGAATACTTCTGTCAATTTACCAAAACCAGTTAGTGCGTTAAAAAAATAAAAAGCATGTTCGGTTTACTTTATTTTTCTCATTTTGAGCCATATATTTTCTTTGTAATTGTGAAATAACTCTATAAACTCGTAATATTTATCACTTACAGTTATTTCATAATTATTAATCTTGAAGTATAAGCATTTATCTTGAAAAGACCAAGTTCTTCTTGTTTCCCCAAGAGTTGACGTTTTTAATGTTAATTCGCGGGCAAACAATGTATTTTTAATGTTGTGTTTATTCACTTGTGTTGAACACAATGTTAATTGTTCTCTTTGTGCCATGTCCTGTTTTCTTCTATTGTTATTTAAATAAGTACAGTAATGCAGTGGTTGTTCTCTTTTTATTGTTATTCAAATTGTAAAATTTACAAGTTCTTTTCAATAAATTGTTCATTAATTATACAAGTGACTCCTTTTTAATTAAAAGTTCAATTCCCATGGGAATTGAAAAAATAAATAAAAAAAATCCCCCTACCCCGGCCGGCTCCCCAAGTGCTACCTCTACTTCAAGCAGAAGCACTTCAACATATATAGTAGAAGTACTTCTACTTAAAGTAGAGGTAGCACTCGGAGAGCCAGCCGGGGTAGCGGGGCGAAGAGAAGACCAACCTTGCAAATGCTAATGCAAATTGCTAAATTGATCTTCTCTAGAGAGCAGCCACGCGCATACCTAGCAAATATGTAAAACAGCAAACGTTAGTAACAAATACTTGGCATGCAAATTTGAATCCCATGGCCGAAAATGACAAGTGCCCCCCACTGATTCCTACCAACTGCCTACCTGCCTCAATCCTAAGCTGTCTGCCTCAGTTCTAAGCTGTCTGCCTCAGTCCTAAGCTGTCTGCCTCGGTCCTAAGCTACCTGCATTCCATTCGTAACTTCCGCTTTCCTCACCATCACACAGACACTCGCAACTGCCCAACCTGCCACCAGCCCGAACTGCCCACCCTTAATGAAACTGAAGGAATTAAAATTTCGATAAAGTATGCATAATTAATTGAATTAATTCGGATATTTTAGGCCAAAGGTTGACGATTACGAAAGACCGCGTATACAAATAGGTGAGTTTATTGCTTGCCTGTTACACATGAAATTTACTTCGGAAAATATACGAAAGTGACGAAACGTCTTAACCCTTATGTTTTTGCTCCAAATATTTTGATACGGCAGAATAAATTTAGTTTAAATAATAAAACTCGATAAATTTTTGTGATTTTGAGATATTAAATGTTTTTTAGAAAAGGCACTGGATTGGGGTATATTTTACCTGCTTTCAGAAATTTTAATTCCTTTAGTTTAGCCTAACCCCATGCATCCTATACACACGGCGCACACTCTCGCACTCCATACATTTAGCTAATAAATTACGTTATAAACAAAAAAGCAAAATAAAAAGATAAATTACGTTATCACTAGCTATCCTATATCCCACTTAGACTGAGTTTTGGATTCAGGTTCGAAACGTAAAACCTTAACTGGGCATGGGCTTTTTGAATATAAGTAAATATAAACCGTAAACTTACCTAAACCAAAGGCTCGGTTAAATAAGTATGAGAATGTATACAGTGGTTTTTGAATTTTTTTAAATGTAAAACGTAAGTCAAGTTATTTGTCATCAATTGGCGTACTAGGTTGAAAAGAAGACTTAATTGTTTTTAGCTATATTGGATTTTAAATCCAAACGGAAATTACCATGCATATTTTTGAAATGACCATACAGTATAGTACAGTTTATCTATATAGTGCATACGCATCGAAGTATTAAATAAGTTATCCGCAATTCTCATACTCATTTAACCGGAACGCCTTAATTCATTTGCATGATACGTCGCAGCTGCTCTCAATTAATACTCAAACCAGTTCCATAATTTGCTTTAGTAAACAATGGCTAATTGTTCCTGCTTACTAAAACAAACCCAAAAGTAACAAGATACTTATCATATTTAATCAAAGAGGATTCATTATAAAGACAAATTTCCACTATGAAATCAACATAAGCATGAAAACAATGCATATTGTATATTCCCATGGGAATTAAAAATACGAAAAAAAAGTTTATATAACTTTAGTGTTTTGCACACTTACTATATGAACTCAAATTAGCTTGAAAACAAAGGATAGTATATTCCAATGGGAATTAAAACACGGCATTGTTTTCTGTATTGGCATTATATTGTTTCTAATGATGAAATAATTTCTTTGTTTTGCTTGTTTTAGCATATGTTGATGTCATTGTGAATTACAAGACTTTTATAACCTAACGGTTAACCGATAGTTAACAGAATATAAACCATGGATATAGGTGAGTACGAAAATTTTTTGTCGACATTGGCAATGAAAAAAGACGAGAGGTCCACCAAAAATTACTTTTGTGAAAATGAAACCTCGAAAGTTCTCATCCATGTCTATTTTACATATAAACTATGAGTCACACTGTTTATTTTGTTTTCAGAAAACATTACAATCGAAAATATTCAAGCAAGACTCATGTTTTAAGGTATTGGTAACGTTGAAAATTTCATCTTTAATGTCAAATTCAATCGTATATTTTTATTTGTAAACACTTCAAAATAATTTTATCCAAATGTTTGGCCTAAGCTTTCAGTTCTTCCAAATCGGCGGATCGTCGAAAATTAAAAATAAAACAAAAACGTTATTTTCGATTCATAAAATTGCCAAACTCATAGGAAATTTCATGCCATGGAATTTGATCTACTTTTTCTTTTTTCAAATGAGAAACGATCGTATTCGCTAGAATCCCCTTTGATTTCTAAGTATCTTGCCTTTAACTTACATTGTTAAGAATTTCACTACTTTCATATTAGCAATTCATGGTTTCTGATTGTTGCGAATTGTCATTCTTTTCTTGGCTCCATATCATCCGCGTGTTGTTCATTCTGCTCTCTTCATCTTGACATCTTTTAGAGTGGATCGTCAACACTTCACACCAAATCACTTTTTGAAATTAAAAAAATATAT